GTCGTCAGAGTTGTTGCTGGGCCCGGCCCTTCCCACTTGACTGATTTTCTTGCTCAGGCAATGTCCCAGTACACAGTAAGGAAAAGCCAAATCGTTACGCTTGTTGATGAACTGGGGGCCTGAGAACCCTGACCCAAGCAGCTCGCGGCTCACGCGGTTGTCACCTCTTGCGAGGATTTTGGCCTCGTTAAGTACAAACGAAAGCAGAGGACTGTCTCCTTGGCTATCTAGCTTTTGCATCCTAGTAAACAGCTGCAGTTCACTGCAGGCTCGCACATTACAATTACCGCCATTTTGGCGTGTGCAGTTAGTCAGAAAGCGCGCCTTGTCGCGTAAGCGTGGGCGCCTTCGCTGTTCCGCGCTCACATCAGGCAGTCTACTAAGCCACCGTTTTACGTCGTTGCGCCACAGCTGAGACAGTTTGCGCAATGTTTGTTTTCATGCCAGCAATACGGGTTTATGCGTGTTACAGCGCGATGGGTAGCTGGAAGAGAAAGAGAGCCGGTCTAGTAAACAAAAAATGTATTGACATCCTTATCTATTTGGCACTGGGAGCGTTCTGAAACATTGTGGCCTATCGCTTGGCAAATCGTGAAGGGTGTTTCAAGACCATCCGGCCTATGACGTGGTGGCCGCTGATTGGCTGATTCGTGCGCGAAAATTCTCTGCGAGAAAGAATCCACATTCAGTCTGCGGCATGCGAGAGCAAAAGCGTCAGTCGTGCAGCCCACGCTACTTGGCCGCGTGAAACCACTGGCTTCCTGGACGAAATAAGATGATCCTCGGGTCTGACCAATAAGCTGACGCTGATCGGCAGTGACAGTGCCACCAGTGCCGCGAGGCCCGATGATTACATTATGATATTGTGCCACCGTTGCCTTATAGATAGCTTCTTTACCCAAAACACTATGGGAGACACTGTCGAACAACCCCTCCGAGCGGCTGTTGGGGATCCGCCTATATTAAAATCCCAGAGAACCTCACGAAAATACAGTATTACGTGTCGTACTGCGTCGTCCACGGAAACCGAAACGCCTATCTAGTGATGCAGGCGAGTAGTATGCGAGATGGACTACCCATCCGGAAACGGACCCTTAGTATTGAACGCTGAAATGTGCGAATTTTCGTGGACCCTAGTATCCAAAGCCTTGAGGCACGCAGCTTTTAGTAGTACGACGTGGATGTGTGTTGCCTGTCTGAAGTCCACATTCTTCACTCAGGTGCTCAAAAGATTTCGGGAGCCAGCTCACACTGCGACCTGTACCAAAGTAGTCCATGCAACTCTTCTGCTATACACGATGTGGCGATCACTTTCGTGCAGTTGGCGAGTCTACACGTGCCCTCGGGCATTCTACATATGCCTTATTTGATGGTACAGAATCCCAAGCCTGCGTATTCTTTTGATTGATGTGAATAACCTAGTCTGTGTCAAATTAAAAATTGAGTTTTGACTAGTAAAACCAGGACTTGTCCTTGAAAAC